GAACGATCCGGGTGTGACGCTTGCACTTGGCCAGCTGATCAGGTCTTCGGCCAACGAGACGTGGAGGCTATGCTTTGGCGAGCAAAACCGAGCAAAAAGCGGGGAATGACCGACAGCTTAGAGGCCAGAAAGACCACGTGAGGCCTAAAGCTGTTGCTACAGAGACAAGCTCGGCAATCCGAAGTGAAAGGATGACCTCAGATGGCCAAATTTATCCCGAGCTGGTCAGACGCGGGCCGAGGCGCGAAGCAACAGCAGCAGAAGGTGACTCGCTGGAGCTCAGCGCAGCCCTGCCGCAAGAGATCTGAGGTGGGCGGGAACGTTCCGATCCCACTTTTTTCTTTTCTCGCGGCACATCCTGAGCTTCATGCGAATGTGCCCGTGGAGCTGTAGAAATGAAGTGCGGCTCTTCCGCTTCAACATGTTTGCAGACTCTTGAGCGTCGGACGATCCGATCGAATCTTGCAGAGTGAGGATTGACGGCTGTTGAGCAGATCGCCCGCTTCATGTGTTCTGAAACCTCGAAAGGAGAGAGGGAGAGGCAGCGTGAGAAGAGCACGGTCGGAAGGGCCGCCCGACTTTTGATTAACTCAGACTCAGGGTGCAGAGCGCGAAAGCGTGGCTTCTTACCTCACATCCTCGGCTCGCCCGTTTCTTCTCGCTCAGCCATCCGCTCAAAGGCTCATCGAGGTCCATCATCACACCCTTTTCCTTCACCCCAAAATAGACTTAGCAGTCCCGTCCATCCACAGCCACGCCTCGGTCGAATCTGTCAAGATGTCAGGCGGTGCACCTCCTGGTTCAGGCACATCTGCGCAGCCCGAGCAGTCGCCATCCTCTTCAGGATCCATGCCAGCTTCGAACTCGCTCCTAGACATGCTTGCCGGCGCTCCCGCTCGAGTCGTCACATCACCACCCACGTCGTCCTTCACCTTCTCCTTCCCCGCGCCATCACGCTCGGCTTCGGTCTCCTCAGCGACCACCATCACAGGAACATCTCCCACTCCCACCACAACCAGCGTCCCTACGGATGCCGCCGTCGCCGACTCTCCCGCAACCATGCCCGGATCTTCGCGCAAGCAGCCACAGGACGTGAGCCAGCTCATGCAGCAGTTCATGGCACCAGCTTCTCCCCTCGTCATTCTGTCGCCCAACGCAAAGTCGTCGGAATCCAACGATCCCATCCCCTCGGCCTCACCAACCAAGCAACCCTCTGCAAAGCCGCAGCCAGCCATCCAGAACAAGGCGCTCCAGCTGCCACCCTCTCCGCCCAGCTCTGTCAGCAGCGCTTCGGGCCCCAAGCTCCGTCAGCCCTCTTCCGGATTCGACTCGCCTGCCACTTCCTCGCCTCCCAGGCAAAACGCACAGCTGCCCCCCATGGACAAGGATACGCAAACTCCATCTGCCCCGGCACCCGCTCCAGCTCCAGCTGCATCACCGTCCGTGAAGACGCCCTTCGACTTTGTCAGTCCCTTCGACATGCTCTCCTCCAACGACAACCAGAGCGCCGATACCACTCCCCAGCCGTCAGAGGCTCAAAAGAACTCGAGCGATGCCGCAGCCAAGGAGCCTCTTGCCGCATCCGTGGCAGGCTACGAGGCGGCCGAGGCCGGCTTCGCCAGGATCCTCGAAAAGCTTTCCGCCTCGGCTGCGCAGAGTAAGCAAGCGTCGCAGAGGCCTGAAGCGTCGCGCCCGGCACCCGAACAGCCAAAACAGGAGGAGGAGCCAGCACCCGCCGCAACCTCGTCCAAGTCGCCCACGCGCCCAGCCTTCCGCAAGTTGCCCTCGGTGCCCGCCCAACTCGACACGCCGGACAAGCACTTTCACGCCTCGCGCCATGCAGCCGTGCTCAAGCAAGACGACGCCTTCGACCAACCAAAGTCGTCCGGCCTCTCGGTCCTCTCCCCCTCGCGCTCCTCCAGCGCACCCAGCATCGCCACCCTCGACCTCTCCGCACAGCAGCCCGGCGGCTTATCCAGCCTCACAAACACCAAGGTCGAGTCGTCTGGCGTCGCGCTCGTCTCCTCGCCCTTCCATTTCCCCTGCAACGTCTCCGCCGCCGGTCTGCTCCCAGCCTCCCGTATCGCCATCCTCGGCCACAATGTCGCCTGCTACGCCATGAACAAGGGCAAGGTTCGCCTCATCCACGTCGCATCCGGCGCACGCCTCCTGGTGCAGGCCCCAGGCAAGGCAGCAATTCGATCCATCGCCGCTTTTGCTTCCAGCGACGACGATGACACCTTCTTGCTCGCAGCGCTTACCGAGCGATCCAAGGAGGCTGCCGACGAGGGCGTCGTCTTCTGGCAGATTCCTGCCTCTTTCGTCGTCGATGGCAAGGATCAAGACTCCCCGCTCCTCATGGGCCGCATCACCGCCGACCCGTACAAGAGCCCATTCATCTACCGATTTACCGCCATCGCATGGCACCCGGCGCAGCCAAGGATCGCCATCTCCACCAGCGACTCGAACGTCATGGTCGTCGATATCGTGCAGCAGCTGCTCCACCAGACACAGCCTGCGTCGCCCTCCAAGAAGTTGCGCTCGCTCTCGGAGCTCGACGTAGACCCGGACAGCAAGGACGTCGCGCACAATGAGCCGCTCTGTGGCTTTGCCTTTACGCCGGACGGCGCAATGCTCGCCACCATCTCGGCGCCGCTCGAGGGCGACGTCTCGTGGATCTTGGGATTCATGCCACTCGATCGCACTGCTGGGCAGGCCAAAGAAGGCGACCATACTTTCCTCATCAAGTCGCCGCTGCAGGAGCCCATGATCATCAGCCACCTCTCCTTCATCACCGACAAGCAGCAGCACATCCGCGCCGCTCTCGTCGGCTTCAGATGTAACACCATCCTCGGTCTCTATGACATGGACTCGCGCGCCTGGAAGCACGTTTTCAAGTTTGATGGGCCGCTGCACGACGGCGACAAGGAGCACTTCAACCTCGTCCAGTTCGATGCGCACAACAGCACGCTGCTCGTGTGCAACAGCTACCGCTCTTCCATCTTTGCCGTACCGCTCGACTTCCAGCCTCTGCCTGAGTTCGACGCAAACACGTCGACCAAGACGGAGCTCGAGGCGCGTCTCGATCAGGGCCTGCTGCCGTGGGGCATCCAGCTCTCGTATCCGATCAAGGAGTTCGCCCTGCAGGACCCTTGCACCTCGGTCTCGATCAGCCCCGACGCCGAGGCCGGCAAGCCTTCGAGGCTCTTTGTCGTATTCCCAGAAGGCATCAGCATCCTCCGTCTGTTGGTGGTTGAGCCGCCAAAGGATGAGCCTGCCGCGGAATCAGAGCCCGCCGCAGAACCGAAGCCACAGGCAAAAGAGCCTGAAGCTCAGCCCGAGGAGGAGGCACATGCTCCCGAGCCCGAAGTCGTCTCAGCGCCGGCAGAGGTGGCAACCACGCCGAGCAAGTCGAGCAAGAAGAAGAAGAAGAGGTCAAAGGTCAACGCCGCGCAGGCCGAAGTGCCGACCTCTGAACCTCAGCCTGAGGTTGCGACTGAAGACCACGCGCACCCGGTCGAGCCCGTTCGTGAGGCTAAGGATGTGCCTGCTCCTTCAGCGGCCGATGCAGTCCAGCCCACTCAACCACCTCGTTCTGCACAGCAACCCGCACCTGTCGCGGACCCCGTCGAATCGCGCCCCTCCGTTTCTGCATCGCACATCGATGCTACTCTTTCCGACACGGTCACCGTGGCTGTCCACGACGCCGTGGCAGCCAGTGTCGGCGATGGCTTCCGTCATAGCATCGAGTCGGCCATCCCCAAAGAGGTCGAGCGTCTGATCAGCTCCACCGAGCTCAAGGCCGAGCTCACGCGCAACATCGCCCAGACTATCCTGCCCGCCGTGCAGCGCACTGCGATGGAGGTGGTCAACCGCGTACTTGCGCCCCACTTTGAGGACGTCATGATGCAGGTCTCGGAACGCGCCGAGCGCACCATCGTCTCCGAGATGACAAGTGTCCGAAAGTCGCTCGTTGCCGAACAGAGCGAGTCGCTCCGCGACACGGAGAAGACCATGCAGGCGATGCACGCCCGGATGGAAGAGATGCACGAGCGGATCAAGGAAATGCACGCACGCCCGCAGCCGGCAGGCAGATTCGTCGAGCTCGACGAGAGCGATCCGGCATCAGAAGTCGAAAAAGAACGTCGATTCGTTCCCGCCCCGGTGCCCGCTCAGAGCGACGCTGGTGCGGTGATCAGCACCGAGACGGCATCCAGCGGTGCCGTCGTTCCGGCTCGCATACAGTCCAAGTGCAAGCTGCCGGAGCGCGTAGCAATCATCGGCGCGGGCCCTGTGGGCTGTCTGGCGGCGCTTGCGTTCGCACAGCGCGGATGCAAGGTCGACGTGTTCGAGTCGCGACCCGACCCGCGCACCGACGAGGCGGTTGCACGCGCGTCGCAGCGTAGCATCAATCTCGCACTCTCGACGCGCGGCATCTCGGGCCTGCGCAGCGTCAGCCTCGTTGGGCTGGGCAAGTACACGTCGGACGGCACCGATCTTGCCGACCTCGTGCTGCAGGAGTCGGTGCCGATGCGCGCCCGGATGATCCACGTGGTCACCAGACGCGCCAGCGCCGGGTGCAAGGCCGAGGTGCGCGAGCAGAGCCAGCTGTACAGCACCAAGGGCGAGTGCATCAACTCGGTCGACCGCGGCCGCCTCAACAACATCCTGCTCGACCACGCGCTCATGCACCCCAACGTGCACGTCCACTTTGAGCACAAGCTGCAGAGCGTCGACTTTGACCACGACTCGCGCACCGCCGCCAAGAAGGCCAGGGCAGGCCAGAAGCAGGCGAGCGGCAAGAGTGAAACGCGCGCTTCCGAGCGCGTCAAGCTCGAGTTCGACGTGCACACCGCTAACGAGCGCGCGAGCAGGAGGAGCGTGGTGCACCTTGCGTCGTTTGTGCTCGGCTGCGATGGTGCGCACTCGTCGATCCGCTCGGCCATGGGCAGTCTGAGCCGCATGCACTACACGCACAACTACATCGACACGGGCTACGTCGAGCTCTCGATCCCGCCGCGCACGTCGCTCGGTGCCGGCTCGCGCGCGCGCGGCGACGGCGGCCTGGACGGCAAGCCAGGCGGGCACGATGCGTTTGAGCTCGACCCGAATCACCTGCACATCTGGCCACGTCACTCGTTTATGCTCATCGCGCTGCCCAACCAGGACGGCAGCTTCACGTGCACGCTGTTTGCGCCGTTCAAGATGTTCAGCAAGGAGCTCGCGACGCGCGAGGGCATCGTGGCGTTCTTCGACGAGCACTTCCCCGACGCGCTGCCGCTCATTGGCGCCGACAAGCTGGTGGCTGCGCTGACGTCGCGCCGTGCATCGGCGCTGGGCAGTGTCCAGTGCGATCCGTACCACTACAAGGACCGCGCGGTGCTGATTGGCGATGCGGCGCATGCGATGCTGCCGTTCTATGGCCAGGGCCTCAACTGCGGCTTTGAGGACGTGCGCGTGCTGTTCGAGATGATCGACTCGAGCCAGGGGCTCGAGGGCGCGCTGGAGGAGTATACGCACACGCGCCATCCGGATCTTGTCGCCATCCGCCAGCTGGCGGAGAACAACTACCGCGAGATGGCGCACTCGGTGGTATCGTGGCCGTACCTGCTGCGCAAGAAGGTGGATTCGCTGCTGATGGCGGTGCTGCCGACGAGCATGTGGAGCAGCTTGTATGCGATGACGACATTCAGCGACTTGCCGTACGCGCAGGTGATCAGGACCGAGCAGAGGCAGCAGAGGATCCTCGGGCATGCCGTTGCGTCGGGCGTGCTGGCTGTGTTGACGGGCGCGGCTCTGGGCGTGTACCGCACCCGCGGCGTGTGGCAGCCCCTCACTCGGCGCTGGATCGATGCGGTCAACACGGCCAACTAGAGCTGGCACGATGTCCCCTGAATGAAAGTCTTGTTCGTAGTGTATTCGCAATGCGTGATCTGATTGGAAGGTGACATTGGAGAGTGGGTCGCGTGTGAGTGAGACTCATGGATGGGTGAGCGCGTCGGATGCGAGACGGCGAGCAATGAGGTTGGTAGGAGGGGAGGCTGGAGAGGATTTTGTATTCTCTGGCGACTAGGAGTCGTTGCTTTGCTGTGCATCGATGGCGGCTACGAATCTGTTCATCTCCTCTGCGACGTAAGTGGCGGCTTCGTCTACGTCAAAGGGGCCGCCTGCGAGGAGGAAGGACATTTCCATGATATGGTGGTGCACGTCTTGGTTGGAGTTGGCGAGCGCGCGTGCTTCGGGCGATGCCTGTTGTGCTGCCATCGAGGCGATGGCAATCGCGCGTCCGTACTCGGCGACTGTCGGTGATGCCATGGTCGCTGTTCAGAACGCTAATCGATGTTTATACTGGTTGGCAGCATACGAATGCGAAGATGAGTGGTGAACTGGACCGAGTTGTATACTGTACGGAGCGTGAGGTGGCGCAGCAACGAGCGGAGATACCGTAACACGGAGCGGTGCGGATCATCTTCCATGTGCCTACACTTACTCACACGCTTATGGCTCATCCAGGAGCGCGTACGGCAGCTCCATGCCGTCAAGGAAGTTGTGTGGGGAACTCCCAGTCTGAGCATCACTTAACGTGCCAGCGCATGCATGTATAGATTAGAGTTGCGTGCGCAAGCGGACGCAGACGCGGCACACAGACTCCGAGCTTCAATGCTGAATCCTCAAGCTCCACCTGATGAAACTTGCTGTCGCTTTCGAGTCTGATGCAGGATCGCGGAGGAGAGCATGGAACACGACTGCAACCCCACTGGCAGCTGATGTCGAACCATTGTCTGCCAGCGGATGGTGCGCACGTTTGACAAAGCCGTGCCGCAACGGAATTTTGCCGTAAACAAGGTTACCGCGCAAGATGAAGCGCGGCGCAGCACTGGATCGTCACCCGCTTCCGCATCAAGTCGGCTGTCAACCGCCAAACGGACAGAGCTTTCAAGACGTGCGGTGCTGAGCTGGTTTCTGCATCTTCGAGGGTCAGGTCAGGCAATCGGACTCGTTCCATCCGCTGTGGAATGGTCGTCCTGCGGCTTTCGCACGGCCGCAAGCTCGAGTCAATCGAACTCATGGCTGCATCGATGCGAACGTCAGTTGCGTGCCGGCTGGCGCAGTGGAAAGGCAACATTAGCCGCCGCCACCCGCAATCCGTCTAGTGTCGGCTGCGGGTTCAACAGCATAGCCGTGCAGCTGCTGCCTTCAGGTGTCATAAAGCGGATCACCTGACAGTAGGGTACAGCGTGAAACGGCTGCTACTCTGATTCTCGACCTGATCGAACTGAGTTACGAGCATCGCCGCAATGGCACCAAGCGCCGAGCGCACAAAGTGAGGAGCCAGCTACCCCGAAGCTTGAATAAAAGTCGGATCGCACGTCCCGCTCTCACTCAAACGATCTCACCTATACTTTAGCGCTAAGCGGCATGCCCGTCTGCCAGCAACCTGCAGGCGTCACGAAGCAAATCAAAGCGAGCTCAAGAGAGAAAGAAGCTCTTCCTCCTGTTGCGTTCAAGTCAGCGGGCGATAATCGCCTTTCTTTGAGGAACGGCTTAGTCCCAAAATCATCGCCTGGTCCTCTTCTCGTCGGAAGAACCAACGTGCGACAGCCGCTAACCAACCCTCTCCTCTTCGTGAAGTGGAGCGCGAGAGGCTATTTGTCTCGTGCTTTGACCTGTTGGACTTTTTGTTGACCTTGGCCCGTCGTTGCCCGGCACCTTTCAATTGCTAGCACGAGCCTGCGCTTCCACGAGTCAATCACTGGCGCTCTCCATTTCGAGGACGAGGACATCTGCACGACACATGACCAACGAATCCGCACACCTGGACCATAGCCACTTCGCTCGCTCCTTACACCTCCTGCGGCACACTCCGGGGTATGTCTCGGCAGTCACTTGCGCTGACAGTGATCGCTTTCTTGTACGTAGTCGCAGCGCGAGTGTCTTCGCACTGTAGTAAGATCATAACGCAATACGGCCATCACAGCTAGCCTGAGCCGCGATCTAGGCTACGCAATTTGCGTCGTCCCCGGGCGCTCCTAGACCTCCAGAGACTCCCTTTGGAAACGGCCAGGTTCCTGCCTCCTTGACGCAGGTCGCCGCGAACGCCAGCCTCCAGGGATCGGCAGCCCAAGTCGAGTCGAGTCAAGTCGAGGTGTCGGCGTCGATGAAGGGTCACAGCAAAATTGCACTAGTCCGGTCTCTTACGCATCTTCATTCTGCGACATCGGCACGGCCAACCCACAACAATTAGGATAGGGTGGGAGCGCGGTTCGTCGGTCGCTGCAACACGCCCCTCTTCGATCCGCAAAGCCAGTTCCACTGCTTCAATTGTCCGCACATGCCCGCTTCGACCACACACGCTTCTGTTCGATATCAAGAATACGATTGTCCGAGAGTAGTCGAGATAGAGAGAAATACACAAAAAGACAGCTTCGCACGGCGGCAAAGTGCACGTGCCATACAAAAAGAAACCCGTACAAGGTGACAAGAAACACGCAAGGGGAACCGCCCCTCACTTCTTGATGACTTGGAAGCCCACCTCTCCATCTTCGGTCGACATGGCATACACGACAGCCATGCCTTCTACAAACGCCATGATGGGCTGCAGGATGAGCAGCGCCACGGCGTGCACAGGAATCTGCCACATCTGGTGCCACTTGTAGCCGTAGTCGATCTCCGAGAAGAAGAGACCCGAGTAGTAGAGCCAGTAGAAGTTGCCAAAGCAGAAGCACGAGATAACGTAGAGCCACCTCGGCGTCGGCCCCGACCACTCGAGCAGCAGCGAGAAAGGAATGTTGATGAGCGTCGCCACAAGACAGAAGATACCGGCGGTCCACAGCTTGATCGCGATCTGAGGCAGGAAGAAGAGACCGTTGATGCCGCGGATACCCATGTACCAGCGACGACGCTGCTTGATAAAGTCCATCCAGCCTTCCGGAGACTGCTCGCGCACCACTCCGTGGATTCGGCCCAGCGTGAAGCCCTTGGACCACGCCGCTTGCGAGAATTCAAAGTCCTCGGCGAGCGAGCCAAAGTCCCAGGTGACCCTATTCTCCACATCGCCGTTGATCATCAGGAACGAACCGTGCACACCAAACACGGGCCGCTTGATAATGTTGCCCTGCAGCGAGAATCGCGCGAGCTCGTCTCCGATACGGATGCAGTCGGCGACGGCAAAGAACCAGTTGCCCCAGTATGTCTCGCGCTTGCCGTTGTAGATGATGATGCCCTGGCCGATGTGCGCAGTGTTGTACCTAATGAAGTCGAAGCAGCCGCGTAGCGACTCGGCGTCCATGGTCGATTCCTCGTCCATGTGCAGCACCCAGTCGTACGGCGTCAGGCCCATCGACGAGCGGAAGTAGTCGAGCGCCTTAGCCTTGTGCTTGGCCTTGCCCAGCGGCGACTTGTACGACTTGGGCGTCATGACGTTGTCCAGGTCGGGGTAGTAGTACGGCTCGTCCGTCAGCACAATCGCGCGCACGGCAGGATGGTACTTCTCGAGCTTCTTGAGGTGCAGATGAGCTCGTCGTGTCGTCTCGGGGTTCGAACCTCGCGTCACCGACACGATAAAGAGGCGGTGAATGTGCTCGCGAATCACCGGCTTCTTCTTGAGCTGCTCCGTCGTGCGCGTGATATCCGGCGTGGCAAATCCGAGAGTCGTGATGATACAGTAGGGCAACGCAAGCGCCCAGAGCAGACGCCACACCGTGGAGAAGTCGGCAAAGCCATCGAGGATGTAGTCGGCCCAGGGGTTGAACCACATCCAGATGAAGCCGAGACCGAGAATGATGAGGACCTGAACGGGCGCAAGGAAGGAGAGGGCCCGCAGCATCCATCGCGTTCGCACTGCCTGCTCATCGTCCGAGATGTCCGCATCGAAGAGCGTCGAGTGGAGCTGGTTCATCTGGAGGCCGACCTCCATAGGATGCGAAGGCGGGGCAGGCGCCTCAACCATGGTGCGCCAGTGGAACAGGACCCAGAAGAAGTGCTTGGTCTGAGCCCACTTGTCGCGACACCATCCGGGCGTGGCACGGGCAATCGCCGGGGGACCGAACACGACGGCGCGTGCGGTGTTGACGGCCGACATGCGCAGCGTCGTTGCCGTGTCGTTTCGCACAATCGTGCTGGCAAACCAGTCGGAGAACTGCATGGCCCACTTATCAAGCGTGTGCGTGATGATCCAGGCAATCACGTAGGCGGTGAAGAAGGTGATCGCCCACGTGCTCCACATGTTGCTCCAGAAGCTGTAGCCCTTGTCACGGAAGATGATGACCAGGTGCGGCATGACACCGTAGATGATGGACATCTGGCACACGTAGAAGCCGAGCGCCACACGACCGAGCGCCTTGAAAGCCCAGTTGCCGATAAGCCACTGGAGCACCACGCTCATCTCGAGCCAGAAGTAGAGGATACCGGCGAGGATGACGTAGCTGGGCATGCGACCTGCAGTGAAGGAGGTGATATCGTAGCCCAGCGTTCCATCCCGGTTTGTGACCTTGGACAGACCGCGGTCGATGCCGACGGCGATGGGGTTGTAGCAGAACGTGCCGATGAAGAAAGCAGCCATGGCCACCTCGGTGGCGAGGAAAGCGAGACGCGACTTCTGATTGAACTTCTTGATGTACCCCGAGGCCTTGAGGTCGGCTGCCACGGCACCGACGGTGAAGGTGATGTTCTGGTTGTACGTGTAGCCTTGGAAGATGAGCAGCAGTGCGTAGAGCACGAATCGACGCGACGGTCGCAGGAACATGACGATAGGCAGCAGCATGAGCACCGAAAGCATGCCCCAGAGCTGCGGCACGATCGACCAAAGCATCGACGTGTTGAGCAGCTGCTGCAAGTAGTCGCGGTTGGTCGCCAGTCGCAGGAGGCCTACAACAATGTCGCCGACGCTAGTGGAGATGTTCCAGTCCGATGCATACGGAGACGGGTTGTTGAAGTCGACGTTGCACCACTGCGGGTAGCCGAGGTTGCCGCTCTGCAGCCAACCTTCGGCGATGACGGTTTGATCGAAGGCGTGGGTGCCACATTCGACCTTCTGGATGATGAGCCACACGGCACCGACGATCAAGAGACGGATGGCTCGGCGCACCATTGCTTCTGGGAGAACGCTCCACCTGATTGGTCGACCGAGCGACTTGTTGCGGAAATACGACGTGGCGTTGAGACGACCGGACAGCATGTAGAAGAGAACCAAGCCCATGGGACTCCTGAGGATACCGACGGGCGTACCGTTCTGAATGGTGCCCGGGTGTGTTGCGATGAAGGTATTGTCGATGAAATGACCGTTGAACACCAAGATCATGGCAATACCTCGGAGACCATCGGCGTAATCAAGGTAGCCGTTTGCAGGCGTCTTGGCAGGCTGATCCGCGCGAGGCTTCTTTTCCTCCTTGATCAGGCCGCTACCGACGGCGCCAGCCGAGTCCTTGGCCGCCTTGAATTCCGAGAGGCTGGCACTCTTCTCGTCGCCGGTTGGGGTGTTTGTTGCGGTGCGATCCCAAGCTATGGGCGTCTCGTTTCCCGGCGTAGACACCAAGGAAGCGCGGTCGTGGGGTGAGAGACTACTCTGATTGAGCGTGCTCGAGCCTATCGGTCGAAAAGGAAGCCATGAGAGCGCATTAGTATGTGTTTGCAGGTTCAATTGAGAAAACATCGCTTCCCCGCGTCGTCCAGGCTCCAGCGAGGCCAATCTTTCGTCAATGCTCATTGGGATACTTACGACTCTCGTAGCCGCCATGGTTGTGATACGGCAGGGGGCCTGCGGGGTGAATCTGGTCGTCGGGTTCGCTCGAGGACGAGTGAGGGCGATCACTCGAGTTGCCGCTCGTGCGCCTCTCGTGCGGCCTGACGGGCGACGACATGACTGCAAATGCGATCGGACGCTTGTCGTCGATCCTCTTCTTTCAGGTGATGATGGGTCTTTGGCTCTACGCTAGACAATGGGTGCCAAGTTGAGGGGCGTCGAGAAAGATGGTGGCAGATTTGCCAGGGACAGCGATGTCCGATGTCCTCTTCAAGGCTGGGTGCGTGGAGGGAAAGGGGGAAGAAGGAAGATGGCGGAGGGAAGTGAATGAGGAAGCCAGCACGAGATGGGAGAGGAATCGAGAACGGTCGCGGCGAGGATCCGGAGGGAGGGTCCTGCTAAGGGCCTAGGGAGGATTCCTGTCTTCGAGTTTGTGTACGAGGCGGATGACCGGAATGGTTTCGAGCGCTCGTCTGCTCAGCTCAAATTCAGACACTCGAGGCGCTTAGGGCTTGTTTGGCGGAGGAGCCTCCTGGCCCATCAAGCCGAAGGGAATGGAGCGGCCAGGGGGACCAAGGCATCGAAGGAAAAAGTTTCGGCTTGTCAAGCAGACAGGTGATGCGATCGACGTGGGCAGCAGCCCGACAAGGCTCTGGACGGAAGCTTTGCTCTGCAGCGATAACAAGCTATGCAACGGCGGTCGCGGGAAACGATGGGACAAAACGGAAGATGCATGGTCAGGTCTCGTACATCGTTGGTCAAGCGAGCCAGGATTCAAGCGCCGCGGGATCGGCCATGGTCGGTAGGGAGCCATGGCCGGAAAAGTAAAAGGCGAGAGTTGCAAGTTTCACCCACGGACTGCTGCTGCGAGACCCTGACGGACAACAACACCACGGACTGCTGCTCGCCTCGAGCTAGTTGTGAAAGGGCGTTTGCTCCCACCAACTAGCCAAGCCGTTGGAAGAAGAAAAAAGGGAGAGACACAGAGGACGGACAGGAATCGAGGGTTCAAGCCAGGGTTGCGATGAGGTCGCGCAAGTCCGTTTGTTGCTACATTGGAGAGGCGTCGAGTCGGCTACCGCATCCAGGCTGGCGTCGCTAGCCAGCCGCCGCTGCCGATGGTGAGAGGCAAGCTGGATTCCGCCTTTCAAACACGCCCGTTTCATGGACGCAGTCACGGTGCTCCGCCCATTCGCTTAGCGAGAAATAAAAAAAAATAAAAAGAATGAAGAGGGAAGAAATGGCCAAATTTCGTCATGGGGAGTCGAAACATCTTTTTTCTCCAACAATACTTTTTTGCGTACGCCTTGGTTCGTCCTGTCATCACAGGCGCTGAGGCGTGGTTGCCGGCAACCTTGCTGGTGACCGCCGCATTGCCCTGCTCTGGGCGAAAGCCAATCCCAGGCTCCTCAAGAATCCCAGCGATCGCGAGGTGCTTCAGCTTCAGCATCGCACGAATCCTGAGCCAGATGTACGAAGTAATTAGGTTTCGCCGCTTCCTGAACGCAGTTGTTTGTGCGAATCCCGAGATCTGGAGATCTGGGACCGCGGCGACAACATACGCCTCCTCTTTGCGCGGCTCAAAGAGAAGGAGAGAAGATTCGACCAGGAACATTGAGGCCATCTTTGAGACAGTTTTGCTCACCGTAGAGG